GCGCACGTGTAAACGACGAGCAGAGCCCTCAGAAGGGGGCTTTTGAAGCGCCCAGCATCCTTTACGCGTCGCTCAAAGGGCGCCCCGTTTCCCCGCGCACGCGCCCGCCTGGATAGTTTCGGCGAGGCAAATAACAAAGGGCACACGTCAAAAGGAGCGCCGGAAAAAGTTGCTATATTCCCAGTCACGGGCTGTCGCGATTAATCCCTCGCTAATAGAGCGAATTCGTACGGCTCGTGCACGACGAGAAATAGAATGGTCCCCTTTGCATCAAACAATTTCCTCTTTCGAGGCAAACGAAGCGAGCGAACATGGAGAGAACTCGATTCCTTGTATCGTCTGTAAATTTTGGGTATGCCCTTTATCACTGCAGCGATAAAGACATGATTTCGTCGGCGAGGAAGCAAACGAAATATGAGGGCGCAGCAGCGGATTCCGCTAACTTAACTACTTATTTCAGTTTGTAATTCAAATGTATTTGCAATCGGATTATTCATATCTGCGAGTGTACGTCGAGTTGCTTTACGAGGAGCTTTCTAAACTTTATAAATAAACATAGAGCGTGAACTAAAAATCGCGACGTGGAGGCGCAGCCTGGCCTAATTTTTGCTCTCCTATTGTGTTTACACTTGATTGCTTTAAATTAACCCCGAAGGATCCACGCAAAATCAATTGCTCCTCGCGAGAAATATTGACCCACAGAGAGAAAAATGTAGCCGCCGTAGCTAAAAACTGCACGTGGCAACGAAATTTTAGTTGTAAAATATGAACAGCTAATATTTACGCCAACGGCACACAATACTATTTTTTCTATTGTTTACGAGAACCAATAAGGCCGCAGAGTTTTAGATTAGGTGACTTCGGGCTAAATCCTGCACTGATAGAAAAATACCATGTAGTATTTAAAACTATAATTTCATAGTAAAATAATTATAGTCAGGAATATAATTTTTATAGCAATTATTACTATAATATTAGTAATAGCAACCATATAGGCACAGTGATGTCAACTATTTATAAAATTTACTATAAAATATAAGCTTTTAACTATTATTCTGTTAAAATATCCAGGCAATGAATTGTAAATTTAACATTTCTATCATCCACCTTACTAATCACATGGTGAAACAAAAGTGAAGTGGATCGGAATGTTCTCACTAGAAGGACATGCGGTTAAGACTTTTTTGTAAGAAGAAAACCGCATAGGGTGTTATATGTAAATACGGATAAGTTTATACATTTGTATAAGATTACTTATCTATTCTTTGAAAGGTGCTTTCTTGTACTATTCTTTATGAGTGCAAAGTGATGTATATAGAAAATAAAAAGCGGGGGATATTACTTCCAATATAAATACGATTATTACTATTACATATAGTTATTCGAAATGTTACTTGTAGTTGTTATTGCAATATTTACAGTACACCTTACCAAATTAAAAGCTCGTTTTGGTGCATTATGACAAGCATATCATAAGTTGCATGGACCAATATTGCGAACTATAATACATTGTTAGGTCAACCATAACTTACGTAGTTGGAAGAATTATAAAAATGTGGTTGGCTCCTAAAATGACTAGAGATTATAACGAGATTGTGGTAACTGCAACCATTTCTTTTCTGTCAGTGTAGGAACTCTGTAGTTAAAAATCGGAATTTCCGCGCAAGTTTCCGAATTAGGAACTCATTATCGGTTGATTAACCCACCAACTCGCGATCGATCGCACGATAATTCACGTTGACGTAAACCGCGCGCGTGCAGGACGGGGTAGCGTAGCCGCGGCGCGCTGCAGGGGGGGAGAATGAATTATTCTAAGGACGAACTTCCGCCGGTATTATGTGATAAATATAGAAATTATCCGCGCGAAACGCGCGTCCGCCCGACCGAGTGTCATCATCAGACCGCGCTGCATATCTAGGTTGAGAACGTTACTAGTTGCCGTTACAGCAGTTAGTTTAATCCCCTAATCTGCGCGCATTAATTATGATGCGTACACACGGCTGCGACATGTAAGAGTAATTTCGCATTCTAGCGTAGCGAATACGCGTTAATACTCTCGTTTCACGTGCTTTACCGCTAAGCGCGTAACAGCTTTTCACGCACGGCGTAATCTGCGCGGCTCAAGTTTTTTTTTTAAATTATCCTTTCTTGTCAAAGAGAGCATTACTGCACCTTTGAATCAGGCCTCATTATCGACGAATTTAATTTTGATGACGGGTTCTTTGTCAAGAGCTCGTAATTAGTTCTCTTTGTTAGCACTGTATGAAGTTTTTAAGGTCATTTTTTAGCAAAATTTTACGTCAAATTTAGACGCAAAGAGCACATTGTAAATCAAGTTTTATATCTCTACGTAATGTTCTCGGGACATTTAAAATTTGTGATGCAGATTGAATTTACGTAACATTTGCCCCGGCAAAAGTGTCGGATACTCTCGGCCGTTTCGTATTTTCACAGTGGCAGAGTTGCTTGCACTGTTTCAAGTAGTCACGCTCGTTCCTAATCAAAGTTTCGCACATAGTTAACAGTTGGTTCTTTAGTATGCGAGAGACCGGAAACATCAACGGTTAGCTGTATATGTCCACGTATATACATATATTTATACACGTGGTTATTTTGTTAGGGGAAAGTCAAACGTGGTTGAGCGATTCTAATTAAGTCCGACGGCATAGCGCAAAACTCAATTTAATTAGGGCACAGCAAGCACACAGTTTAAATCAGAAAAAGAAGAAAGAAAGAAGTAAAAAAAGTTCTAAGAAGTCACGTGAGAAATTGCCAAGTGACCCATTAATTTGTGGCTGCAAAAATTGACGCTCGCGCCGCTGAAATAATAGTAGTTCCGCGAAATTATATCGTGTTTTAAAACTACAGCTTACATTCATAATAGCGGGATAAATGTAAAAAAGGTAATCGATATACAAAGCACTTGGACAGCGTTTCAGTATCGAGGAATATTTGTCACGTTATAAATAATCGCAACATGGAAAAAAAGATGCTGTTGCAATAAAAAAAAATTAAGCGACCCCGAAAACCCCCTTGTACAAAGTTTTCAAGAAATAATCTTAAAAGACTTGTGCAATAATGAATTTTTCCGAAAAAATTGCTGTTTTGTCATATTTGTTTACTTACAAAACTTTTACAATAACTATTAAAGACTACACAGAAATTTTTTACATTCTTTCATTGCTAAGATACCCAAGAAATGCAAAAACCCGACCTAAATGCGCTAACTAGAAATTAAATGGCAAAAAAGTAACGAAGCTGAGGTGGTAACGTGGATTACCGCCAGGCTTCAAAGGGTTAAGACAACCACCTGATGTTTTTTATTCATTAATACTGATGTTGTTTCAACGATTTTACTTCAATTATACGCTGATCTTGTTGATAGATCATTTTTTTCCCCGTGAAGCTAATTGAATAACGCGAGCGAGAGAATCTCTCGGCTATTTTTCGCGAGGAGCGTCACATCGGCTCGCGCTGGAGCCAGCGGTTTGAATCGCACCAGACGCGCACTTTTTTTCCCGCCTTCGACAGAAGCTACGCGCTTTCCAAACGCGCCTCTAATTTCCCTTCCCTTTGCGCCCGTGTCGACTGTGCTCCGTTTACGCTCTTCCGCGAGTGGGACGGCGGGGTGACACGTCCCCGGGATTCAGCGCGGTTCGTGGCGCGAGGGACGTACGCGGCGTCTCTTAAAAAATTCACCGCATATATCATCGGCGGATTGTCGGCGGCTTTGCAAGGTGGATGCGCATAAATATTCATCGGATTCCTCCGGTCCGATTGTGCGCCGTAGCCGCTGCCGACTTTACGCGCCGCACCGTTCAACGGAGGAACTTTCAACTTATGGGCCAAGTTCTGCCGGAGCCATTACGGGAAGTTTTGCTTTTTAACGACGTTTCGGTAGTACTTTATTTTCGATATCTAGACGCGGATAATCGGCGCGGATATCGCGGGAATAAACTACAAAATCGCGCGGCAATCTCCCATTAAAATTAAAACGCGAGCTCCCCCGCTTGACGCGAGCCCCCGCTGCCCACCGGTGTCGTTAGCGTTAATAAAGCGACCGGCCGATTCGCCGGATCATTTCCACGCTCTCGTGTCGAATTATGAAACAAAATTCACTTACCTTATTTTCGGGATAAACGGCTCGACTAATGAGGCCAAACGGCGCCCGTCGCTCGGCGTCGTTTCGGAGATATTGAGCAGCTAAAGGAAATTAATCGGGCGCCATCGTTATTTTGCGAGGATGGTCTGCAAGTGAGAGACTTCATGAGCCGAAGCCGGGGATTCTTAAATATCCTCGACGGGAAAAGTTCGGGAGCGCATCGGGGTCATGGCTATCGATCTTCGCGGGCGTTGCCATTAGCTCCGAATTACCAACCATCCGCAAGACAGACAAAGACGTATGTCCTTCATTTAGTCTAAATTTCCGCGTCACGTCGTTTCCGTACGCGGCGCGTCCGATAATAATGAAATAACAAAGAAATAAAACTGGCCTCCCATCCCGAGTCGAATACATTGGCCTCGGTTTAGCCTCGTATAATTTTTCAATTGGGCGCAATGAGATCGAACCAAGGTCTTTGTGTCGGAGAAAATATATTGAATTCTCGACCTCAGATAGGCCCGAAAAGAATCGCTATTTCCCTTTTAGCAGTAAAGAGGCCAACGCGAGTGTAATCAACAGAGGTTCGGCGGATCCTCTTCTAGGTCTCGAAAAGGGTGAAATATTTTATTACATTCTCTTTGAAGGGTAGAATGAGGTTAAACACAATTTTTTACTCATCTGGGCCTCAAACTGGAGTTTCAAACCGACTCCGAGGTCCAAATAAAGGCAGAATAAAATAATTGAGGTCCATTCCGGGGCCAAATACTCGACTCGGAATTCGCGCGGAAAGGAAATTATCCTCTTCCCTCTTCAGAAAGACAGGACGTTCCTCGACACATTCGATCAGCGACCGCAATCGTTGCTCGGACAGGCGGCGCGAGAATGAAATCGACGAGCGTTGTGTGGGTAATTTATTTACAAGAGTAAAACATTATGTACAAGAATGCGTTTTTTTTTCGCGCAAGAGAACCGTGTGAAAATAAGACAGTGAGAAGGGTGTGAGCGGGTGGGAAACACAGTTTTCTTTTCTTTCATTTCGGGCTAGTCGTGGGTGTAAATCATACGAGCCGTAAAAGTCGCGCGTGGTTTACATACATTTCTCTACTATTATCTGTACGTTTGTGTATGTGTGTGTAACGCCGTGTCTTCCGTGTCTTCCTTTAAGTTTTCATTTAACACTTATGCCATAAGTAGAAAGTACTTCGCCGCCCGGTGGAGGTCGGTCCACCCGTTTTATTACATCGCTCTCCGGTTAAACTTGCTCGTGACACATTTATTTTACACTTAACACTTTCCTCACTATGGTCGGGAAAGGGCGCGGGGCGTAGTCCTGTTTTTATCTGCTCGCTATCCCTCTGCGTTCTAGCGACACTCGCGCTCAGCTACACGTCTCTCCCTCTCTGCGTCAACACTCGCTGCGCGTTATCATTAATTCTTAACGTTCGCATCGCGTTAGACATCACGGCGCAATTATTCGAAAAATTTCAGCGGCGACGGCGCGACCTGCGATCCCGCTCGTGCACGAAGCGCTCTTAATTAAAAACCGTAAGAACCCGATCACTCGCCGCCGCTCAAATTCTTTAAATAATATCGACGTCCTCGCGTCATCCGTGGATATGATAAGAACTCTCGACTGCTCCGTCATGGTCGTACGAATCGTTGCTCGACGCGTGCCGTTATTATTGCCACGATAAACCATACCGATGCTAAGTCACGAAGCATAAACTAATTTCTGAGCTAAACCAAATCAATTTCTGGCTAATCAAGTATTTGCGAATAGGAAACTTTTATCGTTATGTCGCTTATCTATGGAGATATAGAGTGCAAAAGAAGCTTATCATGCGAAAATAACTATGCTGGATTACGTCAACGGTTTTGCCTTTAGGATTATTAGGATTGTTATAAATAAATCGGAATTAAATCTAGCAATATTGCGTTGCGATTGGTATTGTTTCCATTATATGGTAGATTATAGATTAAAAACAAATAATTAAAAATATGAAATAAAATATCGGAAACAAATTATATCGTTAAAACGTGGTATTTGTCGAAATGCACGTGTCGTTCAATTAAAAAATATAATAAAAATAAAATAAATAAATCGCTTGAGATCCGCTTGTTATTTAAGAGAACGGTCATTAAACACGATGTTATAATTATTAATTTTGGACGCAAGTTGATGGTGAAAATATCGCTTGTGCAACATGCCAATTATTGATGGAGAACGTTTTTTCGAGCTGGAGATACGTCGGTTATCGCCGATTATGCAGCCATTTACCGTTTTATACAGCCCAACTGTAAATATTGTCGCTGCATTACAACGAATGTATGAAAAGTCCATTCTTCCTGGATTCGTTCCTTCGCGGCCGGGAAAAGTCGACTCAGAAATTCGTCGTGAAATTCATGCTTCTAAGACACCGTGTAATACGACCGCCTCACACTCCGCTTAACCCTTAGGCACAAAGCGTCCCTTTTATTACGTAAGAAGAGCTGTCTCTTAGGGATTATCTTTGTATTTCTCACCCCAGCGGCCAAACCCACGGTTAAGTTTAAGATAAACGGGGATGAGGATTTTCGCGTTAGATTAAAAGGAGCGAGATAACTGCTACAAAACGAGAGTATTTTAAGTGCGATTCAGGTAATATAACGATGCCCATATTTGGAAATTAAAATTTTCGCTGTGAAACAAATCGTTCAAGCGGAGCTGGAAAAATTATGATTCACAGTCGACACACTTCTATCGCCCCGTACGCGATTTCGATAGTTTTGAAAAGCTAATCCCGATGAAATAAAAAGATCGACGCGATATTAATGAGTGAGAAACAATAACGTCAATAATGGCGAATGATATGGTGTCGTGCCGATTATTATCTTGAAATATTACTCTTCGAAAATGAATTAAAATATAAAAATCGCACAGTTATATACCCAGCAATTCTCATAAACGATCTCATTAATCGGAAACTTGCTTTGCATCACTCTATGCTCATTGTGCAATTCCGTAAGTTATTTAATTTTTCGGCCGCTACGACGACATTAACCGAGATCGAATTCAGGATGGTCTATGCGGAAGGGTTAACGTTTCAGTTGTGTGGGCGATCAGGTTGCGATACGTCCATCGATTTTACGAGTCTCGAGCGACCTTCGTGTACACGCACATTATCTCAGCTGGCCCAGAAGGAAGGCGAGCATCACCAGAACTGTCTTCGAGTTGGGCGAGCCGGCTGCCGTGTTTCCGTGCTGCATCGCGGCCGGATGCTCACCTGAAACAGAAACAAGCGCTCGTAGCGTACCTTTCCTTTATTTTTAGCGATCTGGCGATCCCGATGGAACACGGCGTAATGTAACGGAGATGCGGTGAGCAAGGAGGATGTGCAGACGCAGTCGAAACGTATGGAATTTAATTTTTCCCGGTTGTAACGATGCACTACCGCGAACGGCGTGATTCATATCCTACACTGAGAAAAATGTCCGACTAAATAATACAATCGGATAATCCAATTACATAATAACAAACGGGTATATCCGATGAAAAATGTGATCGGTTTTTCAATCAAATTTCGTCGGATGTATCCATAAATTGGAAAATGTAATCGGAAAAATTAATCATCGAAATTTAATTGATTTATCCGATGGAAATTTTTCCCAGTGTAAAAGTAAACCACTACTTACGGCTAGTTAAATTGGAAATTGTCATAAACGTGCAATTACACGGCATATTATTTGACTTCGATCATTTTTTCCAATTAATATTTATTTTACGATTCTTTATATCGTTTGTCCGCGTTTCGAAATTTATATTATTTTAAAGAGTTTCAACATTATACGAGTGTTTTTAGATTTTATTAAATTCCGTTATTAGACCACGATTCCATTTGTTCATGACAAATTAAAAATTGTTAATTTTTGCTTACTATTTAATATATTATAGTATTAATGTAATTATAAGTTTTGCAGTGCAATAATAAATCATGTCACAAACGATTTTCATTTTTCAGCTCCCTATTTGCATACAATACCTCCCCGTGGCTTTTAAAATACACAAAATGTATATATTTCGAGCCTTTGTCCTGATATTAATTCACGAATCTATATATGGCCAAAAATGTTTCTATCTTTTATATACGTTGTAAAATCGTAAATTTTACAGCGCGGTAGTAAATGGCGTCATAATATGCTTCTAGGCCATTTGTATGGGTAGATACGGGATCTCCAGGCATAAATTGTTAAAGAACCCTCACCGTGGAACGGGACGGGTATTTCGAGGTGAAATAGTCTTAAGTTTGACGTAATTCTACGTCGGCCCCGGCGGATTTGCAGAATTGGGGTCAGTGTAATACGGCAACAGTACAGTGGAAGCGGCGGCGTGTTTCTCGTGCGTCGGGGCATTCGCACCCTCGATTGATTTCTTGGCGAACAGCACTGGAATTGGAACGAGCGTCGCGAGGGTGGTTTGTGCCGCCATTCCTCTTTGCTTGGACCGATCAACGGCAAACGTGGGTACTTTTTATTATCCCGCCAGCAATGCCACTTTCGGGATTCAACAAAAGACTCGATCTTGAGTCTGGTACATTCCAGAAGTAATCAAATATAGATTGCTGAGAAAATACATTTCGAGCAGAGAAAATTGATTCCATTTTCAAAATATTCATCTGACGTCCAAACGATCTCTTTGATTTTCTCGCATAATTTTACGTCTTTGTGTTTCGCGGTTTCCTAGCTTTTCAGTTCGAGAAGCTCGATGTGGAATTCACTTAATTTAAACATAATTGTGCGACAATTTATGTAAAACGGTCCGCGGTAAACTCGCAAACGATCAACGTATAAAGGCGCGCGAGGTCTGCGAAGTTGACATCTCGAAATGCGAATTTGTACAAAATTGATATGGCATTTGATTGTCCACAATTTGACAATATTTGTCCACAAATAGTCGTTTTTCGTCCACCTTGCAGAAAAATGAAATGAAAGAGTCGAACGAAAAACGATTATTTATGGACAAATGTGAACAAAATGTGGACAATCAAATGTCATATCAATTTTGCAAAAATTCGCATTTCGGGGTGTCAACTTTACAGACCTGGGTGCATAAGTGTGTGATGCATTGCGCGAGAAATCAAATCAAGCGGTATTACAGGCCTTCCTCATTCCCGTCACCCCGCATCCGACGCGATTACCGTCGATTAATATGCGCCGTGCGAATTCACGAGCTGTTACGTGCATTTTTTAAACAATCGTCCCGCAGTGTACGTTTCTATTAACCGCGTTCATTTGTTTCCCGCCGCACGATCGGACTCGTTATTTGGTTTTATGGCGAAAGTTTCAAATGATGATTGTATTTGCATACATCTCACCCATAACGCATCCGTGCCGCCGAAGACGGTCCGACATTGATAATCGAACGATTATCCCGACAACCGGCTCGTCTCATCGATGTAATCTTTAACGCCGTTTTCGCTCCCATTATTATTTGACACAAAAGTTTGCGATAAAACAAACGCGCGTATCTTTTGTGGTCGCGTGAAAATAAAACGATTTCACTCTACTCTTAAAATAGAAGTGAAAACTTATTGGCATAAAAGAATCACATCGTTAGTTAATCACGCCATAAATCACACAAATGTAAAAACTTTTCAAGAGGGTTCGCTCCAAGCGTACTTCTTTTAAATAGAATAATCTTTCGTAATGACATTCTAGAAAGTTGTAAAACATTTTTAAAGGGAGATTTAAAAAGGTTATAATACGTTAGAGGGATTTCAGGCTTTATTGGTAATAAAAATAAAATGTGAAATTCAAGCCCGTCTAATAATTGTTACATTTTCAGTCTCTTTGTACGTCGGACCGAACGCGCCGCGTCGTCTCGCAACGAGAGTCGCGCGACGCGAGTGACGAAGGACTCGTCGGAAATATTCCGCGGGCGACATGGGACTGTGTAATTAACTGTGTAATTAATCGAGAATTGAAATTCAACGGAATTCGTCGGCGATTTCGCGCCGCGGCGGAACAATGGAGAGTTATTAATACATCCGCGTAACGCGCGCGGCGCCGGCAAAGGCATATTCGGCCCCGCGAATCTCGTGGCGGCGGCAAGAGAATGGGACAAAGTATAATTAGCCGAATATGCGAGCTAAATGAATTTTGCATCGCCGTTTAGCGGTGCGCTCGAAAGCGGAGAAAGCGAGTCGCGATTATTGCAGACAGATAGGACGGATATAGACGGGGGGGTGTACGGGATTGTCGAATTCAATGAATAATTCAGCACGAATTTCGACGAGAGGGCTCGGCCAAACCGAGGAAATTTTTGTTAGTCCCGCGCGTCGTAAAGGATTGCGAAAGTGGAAATTTTTGTCCGTTTAACGCGATATAACGCTTAAGAAGCGGGGGGGGGGGGCGCATTTAATAAATAGCTCTCTTGTATTACATTTTCTGTCCGACTTGCGTTAGGCTCTTTGAAGAGCGAACTGGTGTCACCCGTTCTCCCCCCCCCC